CGGAGTCATCTGGCCGGGAGCTGACAAAGATTGTGTTTGTCACTCAACCAACCTATCTGGTGACTGAACAGTCTCTACAGCCAGTGTTGTTGTGGGATTCATGGCAACTTCCCAAAGGTGAGATTGAAGCCTCTGAAGCCTCTGTTTAAGCATGGGCTTGCAAGCTGCACATGATTGGGTTTGGTGTAGTTCACCCAGGCAAAAAGGCACATTTTGTGGCCGTCTGAATATGGGATTTTGCTATTACAGCCGACACACCTTTTAAAAGGGGCTGAAGAGGCCATAAATGGTGGGGAAACAGAAGGGAAAAATGGTTGAAGAGATGTTAGCAGTAAGCAAAAAACGGGAAAGCAAAAATGAAACAACTCACGGGTGATCATTGATTAGTTGACTGTAAAATAAGAAGTATTCAATTTAGTCATAATTTGAAGGGGAAGTAGTTCTAATAATTGCTAGAAATCACTCAAAAATCACTCTATTTTTCCAGAGAACTGTACAGGAGGGCAGAAAAAAGGAACTGAGGGGAATCTTGGGTGGGAGGAGCATGTGCCCCATCCGGGAGCATCCCACTAAATGGTTATTTTTAGCTCTAGAATATTCTGAGAACGTCAGTGCAGATGCAGAACAACCCATCTGTCGGCATTCACAGAGGCCAAACCATGTTTGAATACGAAGCACAAGAGGAGGCACCATAATCTCTTGTTCATGCCAAAGCAGTTTGAATACGAAGCACAAGAGGAGGTACCACAAGATCCAAAGCAGATATTCAATATAAGTTTCTATTATGCTGTCTTAGACATGGCCATACAATCTGTTGAAGAGAGATGGCGCTGTTACAAAGGAATCAGTGACAACATTTGAAAAAGAAAAGGCACACAAAATGAGATTTTGATGTGGCAAAAATAGAAACATTTAAGAGACATTACAGTTCACAGGCTTATTCAGAATGATTTGTGCGCTAAAACTATTATGTATTTGAAAGAAGAAAATTGAAGACTGTTCAATTACTTGTTCTCTCGTTTTTTTAAAATATTTTTTTCACAATTTCAACTTTTGTTTTTTAAAAATATTTTTTTTCACAATTTCAACTTTTGTACTTTCTGTTTTTCCTACAATTCGTCTGTTTTTGAAAATTGGTGTGTGTGGGGGGTGCAAGTAATTAGTCTTGCCTGGGGCACAAAAAACCCTGGCACCAGCCCTGTCTAGGTGTCCAGTGACACATTCTTCTATTTGACAAGTTTTCTAATTCCTTCACTGCTGCCCGTCCAAGTCTCAGTCTTCTGATTTCTTGGCTGCAATCTCTATTTGGATAAACTATTGAACCAAGGTACACAATTTGTTTGAACAATCTGTCTATATTAAAGTTATGTAGTCCTTCTGTAATCAAAATTTAGGTCTTCTTAATGTTCAAATGCAATCAATCTTTCTTTGGCACTTTGTTCTCTCATTTACGCTAAAAGTCATTTCAAGTTATTGCTGCTTCCCATATGTAAGATGGTCTCATCTGCAAATCTTACTAATGTTTCTTCCACTGGTTTTCACCCCTCCTTAGGCCTTCTTAATGTCCTTCCTCTGAACCTAGTCTGGCTTTCTGTATGACGTGTTTTGTGTACAGATTGAAAAGATGCACACTTGTCTTACACCTTTGCCTATAAGAAACCATTCTCCTCTCCATATTCTGTCCTAACCATAGCTTCTTGTCCACAATACAAGTTATGCATTAGAACAATCAAGCGCTGAAGCACGTTTTTTCCAGAACATCCTATAGTTTCTCATCCATACAGTCGAAGACTTTGCTGTAGTTTATAAAGCACAGATTGATTTTCTTCTGAAATTCTTTGATGTGCTCCAGTGGCCAGTCAATATTTGCAATATTTGTTTTAAAATAATTTTCCAGGAGAGGAAAATATATTCCAAAAGAAGAGAAGTGCTGTCTGAGAAGGTGGGGGGAGCTGGTTGAACATTTATAAAGTTACTGTGATATACGAAGATAGGTGAGAGTAGGCTGGAAGATTGAAATTTGAACAATGAAGAAGCGGACTGTGAAAGAGGACGGGAGGAACATAGAACATGGAAGCTTGTTAAAAAGAGATCTTTAACAATTGAGCCAAGTGAAAGAGGAGGAAAAACAACAAAATGAAGAATTACAGAGGACAGCGAAAACAGCAAAGAAAATGGAGAAGAAAGTGACAGAATTTCAGGAAGATTTAAGAAAGATGGAAATTCAACAAAACTAATACGAGATATCAATGATCTGAATCCAGATGGAGAATGCTCCACACATCTCAAGAATTTGTAAGGTACCAGAAATCCAGAATGAAGATTCATGTAGGAATAAAATATTAAAAATAATGCAAGATAAGCAATATATAAAAAATGTAAGGAACAACAGCGGCAAGAATAGTATCCGTGAAACACTGGAAGGAGTCTGGAATACCACAAATAGAGAAACTGATAGTAAGAATACCGTGAACTGAAGAAATCAATATGTTAACAAACTTGCTGAATCCAAAAAAGGAAAAAGGAGCACTGGGTATTGAACAATCCTGATAATTCAGAAGTTGCCTACACCCACTGGAAGTTTACTTAATGAAGATTATTCAAGCTCGGAGTGACACCTTGGATTATAAAAATGAATAGACTGGAAGAACTCCTTTGATTTCCTTTCTTCTTGATTTTATCTCTTTCGTTGAGAGTGGATGGGGAGGAGTTGAAAGAGTAATTTTTTCTGGGTTTTATTATTTTTACTATTTTTAATATTTTAACTTCTGTCATTTATGAAAATCTGTGACGAAGCTGGAAAAGACCTTTCTTTTTTTTTCTTTTTCCAGGAACTTATATTCCACAAACCTTATCTTATTTCCCTCTACTCTAGGTCTGGAAATCAATATGTTAGCAGACTAGCTGAATCCGGAGAGAGAGAGGGGGGGGGGAAGGAACACTGGGAAACTTGGTGGTCACTAAATATATGGTCACAAAATAGTTAGAATGGTAGGTTGATATACAATCATAGTATAGGAAGAGTTACTTTTAAATACTAGATAAATATTAACAGCTACATAATTAATAATTAGAATTACAAAATATAGGTCTGAATTTGGATTTTCCTTATATATTGTATATATTCTCGTATGTTATCTGGAACTACTCTTAGAAGGGATTATTTAGAATTATTATGAAAATAATGATTTGTATTGTGTTTGTTCAAATCCACACACTCTAAATGTATCCTTGTCCCAGTTACCCTCTACCCTGCCCTACCCTTGTAAAGAAGAAAATAATGTTTACTTAATGAAGATTATTCAAGCTCGGAGTGACACCTTGGATTATAAAAATGAATAGACTGGAAGAACTCCTTTGATTTCCTTTCTTCTTGATTTTATCTCTTTCGTTGAGAGTGGATGGGGAGGAGTTGAAAGAGTAATTTTTTCTGGGTTTTATTATTTTTACTATTTTTAATATTTTAACTTCTGTCATTTATGAAAATCTGTGACGAAGCTGGAAAAGACCTTTCTTTTTTTTTCTTTTTCCAGGAACTTATATTCCACAAACCTTATCTTATTTCCCTCTACTCTAGGTCTGGAAATCAATATGTTAGCAGACTAGCTGAATCCGGAGAGAGAGAGGGGGGGGGGAAGGAACACTGGGAAACTTGGTGGTCACTAAATATATGGTCACAAAATAGTTAGAATGGTAGGTTGATATACAATCATAGTATAGGAAGAGTTACTTTTAAATACTAGATAAATATTAACAGCTACATAATTAATAATTAGAATTACAAAATATAGGTCTGAATTTGGATTTTCCTTGTATATTGTATATATTCTCATATGTTATCTGGAACTATTCTTAGAAGAGATTATTTAGAATTATTATGAAACTAATGATTTGTATTGTGTTTGTTCAAATCCACCCCCTCTAAATGTATCCTTGTCCCAGTTAGCCCCTACCCTGCCCTACCCTTGTAAAGAAGAAAATAATATATATATTTGCAATATTGAGAGGTTTTTTTCATTTTTGGAATCCAGCTTGAACATCAGGCATTTCCTGCTACATATAAGGTAAAAGCCTTTGTTGCAACAGCTTGAGCATCATTCTGTTGCAAGAGAAATTAAAGCAATGGTCCTATAGTTACCGCACTCACTGGCATTTCCTTTCTTGGAGACTGGAATGTATCTTGAACGTTGCCAGTTTGTGCATCATTGTTTCATTTTCTATATGTACTGCCATATTCTTGTTAAGATTTTGACAGATTTGGTTTCCATATCTTGAAATATTTCTATCATTATCTCAAATACCCCTGGTGATTTCTTTCCAGAGTTTTAAGAGTATCTTTCACTTCACTTTTTACAACTGTGGATACTTCATAATAGAATTTCTCTTCAAAGGAATCTGTCATCATATAGTGTTATGTTGAATAAGCACTGCATTTTCACAAGTTGCTATATCAATTTGCTATGTCATTTGCAAAGAAAAAAAATGCCACCATCAACATCATCCAAGGGCACACCCATCACTTTCAATTTCCTATGTCATTTGCAAAGAAAAAAATGGCACCACCAACATCATCCAAGGGCACACCCATCACTTGCCCCTTTGAACTGATACAGGCAATCAGACATGCCAGAAAAAAACTGAATTGCTACAAAAAAACTAGCACCTGCCAATGGAAAAAAGCCAAAAAATGTACATGAAAAAAGACCAGTCTTACTTGTAATTAGCGTTCATCATGTAGTCAATAGGGGAAAAAAACTATCACCAACTCAAAGACAAACTGCAATGTAGTTGTACTTCCAGTAAGTCATTCAAGTCACACCCTCACATAACAACATGACTATGAGTACAAGTCTTAATAATAATCAGGAACAATATTTGTACACTATGCCACTATATCTGTAAACCATTCCTTAGGGACAGAAACTAAAGAATTTCTCTGTTTCAAAGTTATCAAAAACACTCATAAAGGGGAAACCATGCATACTTCTCCATCCACTTACCTGGTATGGAACAATACTTGCATGCCCAGTGCCCCATCTTTGGGCTTCTATTTGGCAATTCAGGAAATTACTGGCAATATGGGAAAGGCAGGCAACCTGCAAGGAAGTGAAAAAGCAGAGATGTCCAATTCTGAAACTGTACAGAATTTAGAATTGATTGTATTTAGCCTCTTTAATTTGAAATAACTAAGGTAAAGGTAAAGGTTCCCCTTGACAATTTTTGTCCAGTCGTGTCCGACTCTAGGGGGCGGCGCTCATCCCGCTCTTCAAGCCATAGAGCCAGCGTTTGTCCGAAGACAATCTTTCCGTGGTCACATGGCCAGTGCGACTTAGACACGGAACGCTGTTTACCTTCCCACCGAGGTGGTCCCTATTTATCTACTCGCATTTGTATGCTTTCGAACCGCTAGGTTGGCGGGAGCTGGGACAAGCAACGGGCGCTCACTCCGTTGCGTGGATTCGATCTTACGACTGCTTGGTCTTCTGACCCTGCAGCACAGGCTTCTGCGGTTTAGCCCACAGCGCCACCACGTCCCCTATATACCTTAAATAAAAAAGCATATTATTCATTTACATACTTAAAATATTTATTCCCCGCCTTTCTTCTGAAGAGAACCTTTTGAAAAGGAAACTTACAATTTTAAAAAACAGTATTAAGATCTATAAAAACACTATTACAACACTTTAAAAGAATTAAACAGATATAATATTTAAACTGTATAAGATCATTATTCAGTATGTTGGGGGACAGAAGAAGAAATAAGCCTGAGTGCGAAAAAAAAGTATTGTGGCACCTAAAATCTTTCATAAAACATTCCTCATGTGCATTTCACTAGAGTTACTATTAGAATTCATATTTGTGTTTGTTGAGATTAGCTTGGACTCAGACAACCATGTAAATCCACTGAGGCTCAGTTTGGAGGTTCATGCCAGTTGCTACTCATGGCACCGTGCATTCCCTTCCCCCACCCCCCCCAGCCAATTACCCACTCCCCAGTTGGAGTGCACTCCGCTCCTCCTCCTCCTCCTCTTCAGCTCTTCGGCCAGTCCCTAGCAAGAGCACAGGATTGCCTGTCCTGCCTCTTTGTCTGAGTGCGTGATCAGTCAAGGAGTGCTGGAGACTGGTCAAACAATCAAAGAGGAAAAGGAGAGAAGTACACGCCAGCCATGGAGGTGGGAGAAGGGGAAAATGAGGCACCTGTGGTGCTGTGCATACAAGCTGGCACAAACCTCCAAACCGAGGTTTGTGCTCATCTCGAATTTCTACCCATATTTAAAAGACAGTACCACTCACATATTTTGCATTTAAGAGTATATACAAATTTCAAAAGCTACAATTTTTGGTATAACAGACTTCTTGGATGTAAAAATTGAATGTTTGGATTGGTGTGCTATCAGTGAAAGAAGGGACCAAAAGCTAAAGGATACATTCTGAATTGTGAAATATAGATCTTGAGGGGAAGAGTATCTGGACAGATGTTTCAAAAATGGATTTTAGAAGAAATATCCACATTGATGGAATTTTTTGTGGTGGGAGACCTTTACCAATATTTATGTTCTCATCTGCCTGAGAAGTAAGGTTGACCTACTTTCTGTAGCCTAAAAATTGAGAAAGACAGCAAAAAAAAAAATTACCTACATCTGTGACAGTAATAATTAAGTGCAGCAAAAACCCCAAGTCTTTAATCTTCCAGAAAATATCAGTTATATCTATCTCTTCCATTCTCTAATTGCATGTTGCCTACATTCATAAATGAATGCAGGCAACTGTGTTGATCACTATGAAAAAGTCAAATTCCATGAATAGATCTTTTGTAAAGCTAACGGGTCTTATGTATTTGCGAAGGCTTTCATGGCCGGGATCTAATGGTTGTTGTGCATTTTTCGGACTCTTAGGCCATGTTCTGAAGGTTGTTCTTCCTGACGTTTCGCCAGTCTCTGTGGCCGGCATCTTCAGAGGACAGCACTCTGTGCTCTGGTGTAGTTGGCTTTGGGAGTGGAGTATTTATGGCTGTGAGATGGGCTTTTGTCTTTTTCTGTAGATGCGTGATCAGTGTGTATTGTTGTGGGTATATTGTTGTGATAAGGAGAGATTATCTGTCACTGTGGTCGATGGGTGTCATTAGCTGGTCTTTTCTGTGTAGTGATCCCTGGTCCTTGTGGCTGGGTAGAGTTTGTTGACCTTTTGCACACTGTATTTTTGAGAGCTGGGAGCCAAGTTTTGTTGAGTTTCAAACTTTCCTCTTTTTTGTTGAAGTTCTGCTGGTGCTTGTAGATTTCAATGGTTTCCCTGTGCAGTCTGACGTAATGGTTGCTGGTGTTGTCCAGTCATTCGGTATTTTGGAATAGAATTTCATGTCCATTTTGTTTTAGGGCATATTCAGCTACTGCCGATTTTTCTGGTTGTTTTAGTCTGCAGTGTCTCTCATGTGCTTTGATTCTGGTGTGGATGCTTCATTTTGTGGTTC